CCAAACTGTGCAAAACAGAGCAAGACCCATCGCTATAAAAAAAAAATTTTTTTTTTGAGATGGAGTCTCACTCTGTCGCCCAGGTTGGAGTGCAATGGCACGATCTTGGCTCATTGCAACCTCTGCCTCCCAGGTTCAAGCAGTTCTGCCTCAGCCTCCTGAGTAGCTGGGATTACAGGTGTTTGCCACTACTCCCAGCTAATTTATTTTTAGTAGAGATAGGGTTTCGCCGTCGTGGCCAGGCTGATCTCAAACTTCTGACCTCAGGTGTTCTACCTGCCTCGGCCTCCCAAAGTGCTGGGATTACAGGCATGAGCCACCATGCCCGGCGCCCCCCAAATTTTTTTTTTTCTTACTGAGTCTCTATCGTGCAGGTTGGAGTGCAGTGGTGTGATCTCGGCTCACTGCAACCTCCACCTCCCGGGTTCAAGCTATTCTCCTGCCTCAGCCTCCCGAGTATGTGGGACCTGGGTGACAGAGTAAGCCTCCATCTCAAGAAAAAAACAAAAAAAAGAACTCTGTGGGGGCCAGGTGTGGCTCACGCTTGTAATCTCAGCACTTGGGAGGCCGAGGTGGGCAGAACACCTGGGCTCAGGAGTTCAAAACCGCCCTGGGCAACATGGTGAAACCTCATCTCTACTAAAATGCCAAATGCCAAAAACTTAGCCAGGCATGGAAGTGCGCATCTGTGATCCCAGCTACTTGGGAGGCTGAGGCAGGAGAATCGCTAGAGCCTGGGAGGCGGAGGTTTCAGTGAGCCAAGATCACGCCACTGCACTCCAGCCTGGGTGACAGAGTGAGACTCCGTCTCAAGAACACAACATAGTGTTAGCCTCCCAAAGTGCTAGGCCTCCTGTCACATAGGGAGACCCCATCTCTACAAAATAAAAAAGCTGCCAGGCACAGTGGCTCATGCCTGTAATCCCAGCACTTTGGGAGGCTGAGGTGGGAGGATCACGAGGTCAGGAGATGGAGACTAACCTGGCTAACACCGTGAAACCCCCTCTGTGGCTGGGCATGTTGGCTCACACTTGTAATCCCAGCACTTTGGGAGGCCAAGGCAGGTGGATCACAAGGCCAGGAGATCAAGACCATCCTGGCTAACCCAGTGAAACCCCGTCTCTATTGAAAATACAAAAAAAAATTAGCCGGGCGCGGTGGCGGGCGCCTGTAGTCCCAGCTACTAGGGAGGCTGAGGCAGGGGAATGGTGTGAATCCGGGAGGCGGAGCTTGCAGTGAGCCGAGATCGCGCCACTGCACTCCAGTCTGGGCGACAGAGCGAGACTCCGTCTCAAAAAAAAAAGAAACCCTGTCTCTACTAACAAAATACAAAAAAGTTAGCTGCGCATGGTGGTGGGCGCCTGTAGTCCCAGCTACTTGGGAGGCTGAGGCAGGAGAATGGCTGAACCCAGGAGGCGGAGCTTGCAGTGAGCAGAGATTGCGCCACTGCACTCCAGCGTGGGCTATAGAGTGAGAATCCGTCTCAAAAAAAAAAAAAAAAGAAAGAAAGAAAAAAACTTAGCTGAGCATAGTGAGCATAGTGATACATGCCTGCAGTGCTAGCTACTTGAAGGCTGAGGAAGGAGGGTCACTTGACCTCAGGAGTTCGAGGGTGCAGTAAGTCAAGACTGCAACACTGCACTCCATCCTGGGCAACGAAGCAAGACCCTGTCTCAAAAGAGAGCAGGGCATGCACAGTGGGCCACACCTGTAATCCCAAGCAGTTTAGGAGGCTGAGATGGGAGGATCGCTTGAGTCCAAGAAATTGAGAGACCAGTCTGGGCAACAGGGCGATCCCGTCTCTGCCAATTATTTATTTATTTATTTATTTTTTGAGGCTGAGTCTCGCACGGTCACCCAGGTTGGAGTGCAGCGGGGCTATCTCGGCTCAATGCAAGCTCCGCCTCCCGGGTTCACACCCTGGTTCAACGGCCTTCTTCTGCCTCAGCCTCCAGAGTAGCTGGGACTACAGGCGCCCGCCACCAAAGCCGGGGCTACATTTTTTTTTTATGTTTTAGTTAGGAGACCCGTGTTAGCCCAGGATTGGTCTTCTAGCTCCTGACCTCGTTGATCCACCACACTTCAGCCTCCAAAAGGGTGCTGGTTTGCAAGTGGTGT